GGGCGTGCGAGTTGCCGCGAATATATTTTTGTTCATTTTTTGTGCACAGTTCCAAATACATTTGATTTGTTTTTATGCACTAATCCTATGTATAATGAACACGTACACTATATTATGGCAGTAAAACATCCGTACTGTCCAAAGACACTGTGTTACGTGCATGACACTTGTGTTCACACATGTTGCACATATTTACCATGTATCATGCTAATTTATGTATATATACAATCTATTTACACACTATACACTGTCACACACTATATACATTCACCATCAACACATTCAGAACACCGCGAGTGAGAGCTATCACACCCAGCCAGCCCTCCCTCCCTCACTTCTCCAACATTGTATTCGCCAACTTTGCCCCTCCCATCATACAGTTATTCACACCAATGTTTAATGTTCATTTATGTATATTTACAACATATGCACACACTATACACTGTCACACACTATATACATTTACCATCAACACATTCAGAACATCGCGTAGCAGCTGCCTCATATGGGCCAATAGCAGCTGCTTCGTATGGGCCAATAGCAGCTGCCTCGTATGGGCCAAGAGCAGCTGCCTCGTATGGACCAAGATCAGCTGCCTCGTATAGGCCAATAGCAGCTGCCTCGTATGGGCCAATAGCAGCTGCCTCGTATGGGCCAATACGAGGCAGCTTTCCTTACGAAAATCGGTAAGGAAATTAATTCGGAGGAGGACTCACTAACACTTCAAGTTGATCTAGATAGGGTTTTGAAATGGTCGAAGGATTGGCAGATGCAGTTTAATGCTGATAAATGTAAAGTTCTGAGGTTAGGTAATGATGATAGGGTTACAAGATACGAGCTAGATGGTGTTGAGATTGCGAAGTCTAATTGCGAAAGGGATCTGGGAGTTATGATTAGTAAGAATTTAAAACAAAAGGATCAATGCATAAATGTTCGTAATAAGGCAAATCGGACACTTGGATTTATTAATCGCAGCATTAGTAACAAGACACCTGGTGTGGTTCTCAAGCTATATCTTGCTCTAGTTAGGCCCCATTTAGATTATGCAGTTCAGTTTTGGTCGCCATATTATAGAATGGATATAAATTCACTTGAACGTGTCCAGCGTAGGATGACTAAGTTAATGCCCCAAATTAGAAATCTTTCATATGAAGAAAGATTAACAAAGCTTAAGTTGCATTCACTGGAAAGGCGAAGAGTTAGGGGTGACATGATAGAGGTTTACAAGTGGGTGAATGTAACCTATTTGGAGGCGCAGATAGTCTCAGTGAGAGGGTGTGTTAACCGGAGCTCCTGAGTGTTGTTATATTATCATAGCAATATGGAAGTTGTAGTGAAGGACCTGGTGACTCTAGTGGGAGCCCTGAGGACAGAGTTGGACTCTCTGCGGGAGGAGGTGCGTCAGCTGAAAGAACAACGAGAAGTAACGAAGGAGGAGACCAGTAGTAAAGGGACCTCGTCTTGGAGAGTTGTGAAAGACAGGGGCCTTAAGAAGACTTTGATAAAGCCGCCTTCAAACGCCATAGCAACTTCTAATTCATTTGACGTTTTGGAGGACGAGTGCTGTGGTGATACTGCGGATCGCGCAAAAGGGAACGCAACGGAGAGCAAGGAAGCGCAGGCCCCTCAGATAGTAAAGGAGGTACCTAAGCAAACCTTAGTTGTGGGAGATTCCCAGATAAGGTATTTGGATAGAACGTTTTGTGCTAGAGATAGGGGGAACAGGTTAAGGGTTTGCTATCCCGGAGCTGGCATTGGTGATATTATAAACAACATGAATGATATTATGGCTGGAAATGGGAACAATCCCATTATTTGCATTAGCGTGGGAGGAAATGATGTTGGTCGAGTTAGGAGTGAGGAACTGATTCAGAGGTATAAAACAGCCATAGAATTAGTTAGGAGCAAGGGAGGAATCCCGATCATATGTGGCATTCTTCCAAGAAAGGGAGTGGGAAATGAATGGATATCGAGGGCACTTGGTGTCAATTGCCGGCTGGAAAGATATTGCAAATCAAATGCAATATCTTTCATAGACAACTGGGAACACTTCTATGGAAGAAATGAAATGTATGCTCGTGATGGGGTGCATCTATCGAGAGCTGGGGTTGTTGCTGTTGCGAACTCGTTGGAAGAAGTGGTTAGAGGTGTTTGTTTGGGTTTAAACTGTTAGTAGATAGAGGTATGGGAATTGATTTGGAGGAAGGAGGTAATAAAAGTATGTGTTTGTGGGAGAAAGGAATTGGCAAAATGATCAGGGAAAGAGAAGGGCCTCAAAATAACAATTCACTTAGGGTATATTACACTAACAGTAGAAGTCTAAGAAATAAAATTAACGAATTAAATGCTCTTGTCTGCACAGAAAAAATAGATATTATTGCACTTACCGAAACGTGGATGAATGTAGAAAATAGAGAACTATTAGCTGAATATCAAATAAATGGATTTAAACTATTTCACACAGATATATTAGACGAGGAGGTGGAGTAGCCATATATGTTAGGGACAATTTGAAATGTAGTCTCAAAGAGGGAATCAAAACTGAGCCACACACAGAAACTATTTGGATAGAATTAAACGAAAAAGCTAATAATATTATAATAGGAGTTATATATAGGCCACCAAATTTAGACAGAATGGAAGCAAAGCACCTATGGGATGAAATATCTAGAGCGTGGTCGGTTTCCACCGCTTCATTTTCTTGTGCGTTCCCTTGTTTCCTCCTCTGCCGCAGGGGTGTTCTGTGTGTGTTCCTTGGCTTCTTGGGCGTTTTTCAGCCTGTGTCCTGTGGTGTGCTTCTTTGTCTCGGTCTGTTGCAGTTGCTCGTACCTTTTGGTTCGGGTACTGTTTCTGGCGGCAACCCTTCCGCCTTCTTGGTTTCCTAACTTGCCCTGCCGGGTTTTTTTCGGGGTCTTGCAAGGTCTCACGTTGGACCCGTCGTTTCTGAACTCCTGGCGGGCTTGCTTGCTTTGGGGAGTTTTTCTATTCGGCAGACGTTCCATCTCCTTGTGCCGCCTGGGTTTCGGTGGTCGCGCCTGAGATCTTCCCGCGGCTCCGCCTTTTCCTGGGCTCGGAGGGGCCTTGTTAGGGCTGCTTACGTTCTGCCTCGCGGTCTCGCCTCCGGTTGGTGGTCGGGTGGCTTCATGGTAGGTGTCCCATCTGCGTACTTCTCTTGGCAGCAGTATGGGGTATTTTGGCGGTCCTTCCTTTTCCTGTCCCTTCTTAGGTGGTTACTCTTGTTAGCATCGGCTTGGTTTTCTGGTGGGGGTTGGGGGCCGTCGTCTTGCCACATACTGTCGCCTCTTTTCGTGTGGTGCTGGCGGAGCTGCTTCGGCTTGCTTTTGGTCTTGGTGTTGCTTCTGCACCGTTAGTAAGCTGTCTCGTGCGTCGCTTCACCTCCGGCCTGTTCGTGCGCCGCTTGCACCATCCTGGTCTCTGGTCAGCGTGCTCTGTCTTCTCCTCGGTTGGTAGTGCCCCTTCGGTTCCAGTTTGTTTTTTCGTCGGCTCTTTTTCCTTTTGGCATTTGCCTCTGGGGGTCGGGTCGCTGAGTTTTCTTGCTCCTTCGGTTTTAGCGTTTTGGTTGTTCGGTGGCAGCAGTCTCCATCTTTTCTGGTGCGAGGTGGGGCTGCTGCGTTCTGGAGGGGTCCATGGTTTGTTGGTGCTTCGTTGGTCGGGCCGGGGGTGTGTCGTTTTTTGTGTTCAGTGGCGGCCCTCCGCTGTTGTTTGCGTGCCACAGCGTCTGTGTCCGGAGCGCGTTTTGCGTTGATTTGGTTCTGTTCTTCCCGGTTCGCAGGTGTTGGTGTCCTGGGTTGTCAGCCATGTTCTTGCGGCTAAGCTGCCTGTGTTCTTCCCTCGTGCCCGTGGCGTTCGTGGCGACGTGTCCTTGCGGTCTTTCGGGCATGGATCTTTGGTGTTCATACGGGGGGCTTGCTGCTCGTTGTTTTCGTGTTGTTCCCGGGACTTTTCGGAGCTGTGGCGCCTTGGGTTGGCGTTTGCTGCCGGTTGTCTCGCTTCCGTGAGGGGTGCGTGGTGTCCGCCTCCCAGTTCCGTCCCTTTGACCTTCCTCTGTGGATAGTTTGCTCCGGGGAGCCGACGGGGCTCCCCCCAGAAAACCAGCGTTGAATGTAATGAAACGCCATTTTCTGGGTGAGACCCAGAGGCTCCCCGGCAACCCTCCCTCCGGTCGGCGGTTTTTCGCGTGTTTTGATATGCAGCCTCAGAACTGATGGGTGGATAGCCGGCGTGGGAGGTCTGGGGCTCCCCCTTCCCCCTCCCGGGGAGGGGGGAGCTGCGCAGACAGTGGCGCGGTGACGTGTGACGTCATACTAGTTTGCTTGTTTTCTGTTGAGGAGTTATATCCACTAGTTCGGCTTTAGGTAGCAATTTTCACCAGAATAGGGGTTTGTTTTGGAATGCTTACCTTTCTGGATGCTTGACCCAGTCGATGGCAGACATAGAATGCTTCCAATCACACGGGGGTTTCTATAGGCCATTGCTTCCCTTGCCTCTCTGAAGGGGGCCAGGTTCTGGCCGTGGTCCCAGGTAGGCCCTAGAACTCCATACACATGGCTGATGTCAAAGTCTGACATTAGCATATCAGCCTGGTAATGGCTATGGGGAGCCTCCGGGTCTCACCCAGAAAATGGCGTTTCATTACATTCAACGCTGGTTTTTTCCAAGATGGCTCCCTCTCACTGGAGGTCCTAAGAGTCCATTTCGTGCACAACCAACCGCGCGCACATTTTGAATGGGTACTAAAAAATAAAAAAATAGTTTTCTTGGTTGGAGCAGTTTCCCACCGACCGAGTTTTCTTGGTTAGCGCAGTCCAGTGGTTAAACAGCCAGTTGAAAAATTTTGCTCAACCTGCTTTGGCAATATACTTTAGTTTTTACTTTATAAATAATTCATAGCATGGTCTAATTAAGGTATCTCTGGAAAAGAATACTGCTAAAATTACATAATATTCTAATTATGTAATTAAAGTTAATTTTTACTTCAGGACTCAAGATTAAGCACTGGTGAAGTTGTTTGGCAAGCTGATCTATCAAAGAGCTGTGAAGATGAGTGTGAAGCCAGCATAGGTTTAAGTGGACACTATCAAGCAAGTGTGCACTTCCCATCCTCTGATGTAGCTGTAGTAAACACTGGGCAAGGAGCTTTACACGTCTTGGAGACAGGCGACCGCAACATTACCCACAGCTGGCTGGTAAGATGTCTTCTGAAATGTTGAGTTCCCCCCCCCCCAAAAAATATACCAATTGCTCAAAAAAAAATTAGCAACCTTGATCAAAGCAAGGCAAACAATAATTTCCATGAGGTAAACACCCGAGCTGGATGGCAACTCAGGTCACCCTGGGTGCCCTCATTCATTTGCACGTGCCTGGTACAGCCCGAGTCTCACCTCAGTGCTGGGCCCACAGTCAGCTTTGCCCTTTCAGATAAGTGGTGTTGGCTGTCTTTGGTACATTTTGATCTGCTATGGACTATAGCTAAGTTTTTGTTCTATTTGCTACTTTGCATGTGTATTTTGTGCCACCAACTTTGCATCTGTCCTGAATTGTCATTTTCTCTGGCTGTGTAATTACCTAAGTGCAATTACAGGATGAGATTTACGTTGTGATTTCCCAGCTTCCCAGTACAGTGGTACCTCGCATAACGATCGCCCCAAAAGACGAACATTTTGGGTAACGAACGGCCCGATCGGCGTCAAATCGTCCCGTATGACGAACGCTGGTTTGAGTAACGTCAACACCACATGGTGGGGTCGCGCTGCTTCTTGCACATTCTTAGACGCCTCCGACAATGCACATAAATTATGTTGTTCTTGTTTAAAGATGCTAATGATGCTGGGATATAATGGGGTGACTGCTGAGATGTTGCAAAGCATTGACGTTTTTGTAGGAAAAAAGAAATGAAATGTCTGATATACAACAAATGTCAAAAAGGTTCATTCGGTGTTCGGCAGGTAGGCTGCTCCATTATAACAATCTTTCTTTGTTTCAAATGTGTTCCATTTGTTTTGTATTTGTCATTTACGTCTCAATAATGGAGAAGCCTACCTTACATACACTGAATAAACCATTATGACATTTTCCTTTCTTCAAATGTGTTCAATATTTATTTTTCATTTGTCTTATAGCAAAATGTTCGTTCGGTGGTCGGCAGGTAGGCTGCTCCATGTTTCTTACATATAAAAAACGTAAATAATAAAAAAAAATGAAGATTTTTGAAAACCAGTACAAATGTCAAAAAGGTTCGTTCGGTCGTCTACAGGTCGGCTGCTCCATGTTTCTTAAATAAAAAAAAAAAAACGAAAAATAAAAGAACTGTTGAAACAATTTGAAAAATGGACAAATGCCATAAAGGTTCGTTCAGTGTTTGTCAGGTAGGCTGCTCCATTATTGAGACATAAGTGACAAATACAAAACAAATGGAACACATTTGAAACAAAGAAAGATTGTCATAATGGAGCAGCCTACCCAACAAACACTGAACGAACAATATGCTATAACGAATATGAAAGACAAGGGCTGCTGGCTGGGTTAGTACTGCGTGAGCAACCATTTGTGGCACACGTGCCTCTGGCTCTCAAACACCTGTCCCACACGGTGTTGAAAGACTGCGCTCAGTCGGTGCAATTCAGACCCTATTGTTTGAAGAACATAAGGGTCATAACATTGGTGAAGCTAGGCGCAATAAGGGCTTAACACAACGGTTGGATGCCAGTGGTACAGCACCTATGAGGATGATACAGCGAGCGTATCCAGTTGTAGCTCTGAGCCCCACTCTTGCCATCTCGAATTATATAGATGATACATAGATGAATCGTTTTCTGCGTTCAGTGATGATGCATCTGATACAAGTAGCATAGATGAACAGTGTTAGCAGCTTCCATGGTGGTGTTGTTCATTGATATTTTTAAGAATACCTGAATCTCTTCCTGACTGATGGACACTCTTTGAGGCTAGCTGAATCTCTTCCTGTGTGGGACCTTACAAAGCGATCTTTTCAAGACTACCTTACAAATTGAGCTTTTCCTATAATCGTTTCAATACTACCATATGCTTTACAAGCTTGGCTACATACCACCTACAAGTACTAAAGCCAAGGGTGCACGCGAGTGCGTTATTTGCAAGCACACAGAACGATGAAACAGGAAACGAAAATCTATCTGTAGCTGGTGCAAGGAGAGCAAAGTCGCGCTGTGTACCATGGACTACTTCATTGACTATTACGCACCTCCAAAGTACTGAGTGTGTAATACAGTGTATTATTGTGTAAATAGTATGTGAAACTGTACATATTGTAATTTTAGTGAATTTTTACCACGTAATATTGTGACAATAAACATTTATTGTGGACACATTACTGACACATGTATCACAGTTTCATGGAACATTATGAACATTCTACTGTATACATATTGTAAAGGTCACAAATATGCATCATATACGATAAAAGAAACAAATAAAACCGCATTGGAAATGCCTAGAAAAAATATTTGAAAATATATTTGTGGCAACACGCGGTGCTTGAATGGCCTGCGCGACCGTGTCTGGGAGCTTCACACACGAGCGACCAGGCCCTGATGACGTCACAGCGCACCTTGTCCACACCCTCACAGCCAAAGTAAATGGAATTTGGTAATTATTTTTACATAGACATGTTCAGGGACGGTAATTTATCATTTTGCAAAGAAAAATATTTTGGGGAACATTTGATGTCATGCACACTGGGGGAATTTCACAATAAACACAGTGCATCACACTGGTTATATGGGGGACACTCGTTTTGTATGACGTCCGTTTCACATGACGAACATGGAACGGATTAAATTCGTTATGCGAGGTACCACTGTACTTTGTCATATGACACTTTAAAACTACTAATGGTTTTGGCCTCCACCACCTCAGTTAACTTGCATCAAATGTCTACTACTCTTTTGTTTTTAAAAAAATAATTTTCTAAAGTTTTTTGGCATCTTTGTTTCTTGAAGATGTGGGTTTCAACAATTCTTCTTTCGCCAGTTTTCAATTCCTGTCACTATTTTGTATGTAGTGATATATCACTTCAATCTTCTAGCTTTGGTATATAGTACTTAACACCTTTAGCCTCTCTTCATAGGTTTTGTTTTCACTTCTGGAAGCCATTTAGTTGCATGCCCTTGTACCTTTTCCAGTTCATTAATGTGCTCTTTGAGGTATGGGCACCATACAACCTCTACATATTCCAATTTTAGTCTCGTAAAGGTCGTGAACAAATTCTTTAATTTTGCCGTCCATGTATTTAAAAGCGATTCTAAAGTTGAAAAGTGTAGCATAGGCTTGTCACACAATGTTCTTTATGTGATCCTCAGGTAACAGTTTTCTATCCAAAACCACCTCTACCTACCTCCCACCTACCATCATCCCTTTCCTCTAAAATCTCTGTGGCTCTATCATTATCATCTAGTGGAATTACACGATTCTTCTAAGTTGTGCAAGTGAGTGTATGGCAAGACATAAATCAGTGTGGAATCTCCAGAGTGCACATCCATTGGTGCATTGTCCTGAATGCTCTGGGTTTGGACCTAGGTTTGTCTTGTTTGGTATCTATGGACAGCTGTCTGGCTGGGCAGGCTAGTGTTATTGTATGGCTCATTTCAAGTCCATTCTCCAATCAACCAGAGCCAGTTATACAGTCTTCACTAGGAACTCAGTGTTCCATGCTCATGTCATAGAGTGAGGAGTCAGGGTGACTTTACAGTGCACCCAGGCAAGGAGGGTCACATCACATTCCAAAAAATGGAATTTCAATACATTCAGTGTAGGGTTTTTGGTATACTTTCTGCCATTCCGTCATGTTCATATACTGTACTTGCTGCTGGGTCAGTTTTTTTTTTTTTTTTTTTTTTTTTATATAGTTGGGGTATTTTTCATGAATTATTTTTTCACTGGCATTTCTTGTATATATTCAAATCAAAGCTGCTTGTGAATTTGCTGCAGATCTGTTTCTTGGGTTGTCTGGTTCGTGTTAGTCGTCGTCTTGGTGGGTTGAATGGTTAGGTGGCAATCTCGACAGTAGCTGCACTGTGTTCCTACAGCAGAGAAGGGTACCTTACCTTACCTTAAGGTTACCTTGAGGTGCTTCCGGGGTTTAGCGTCCCCGCGGCCCGGTCGTTGACCAGGCCTCCTAGTTGCTGGACTGATCAACCAGGCTGTTGGACACTGCTGCTCGCAGCCTGACATACAAATCACAGCCTGGTTGATCAGGTATGTATGACCAGGAGTATGACCAGGGGTATGCCCTGGTTGTTAAACCCCCCTTCTGCAGGTGCCTGAAATAGATTTCTGTTTGGCTCTTGTTGTTGGCCGTGCTCTTGCCTCTTCAGGAGACTAATTGGTCTTTATTTTATTATCTTCCATGTCCTTTCCTTCCTTTATGTTCCCAGGACGGGTGGAGAGCAGTTTTTCTGGGTGCTCAGGATTGCTAAGCACTGAAGATGGGGGGTTTTGTGGCGTGGTTCCAGCTTTGCTGCCTTGGGTGTCTGTTATTTGGTGGGGTCGTGCACTGCTAGTCATTGTGGGGGTTGTGTGGTGCTGATTTCATGGCAGTGGTGCTGCCATGATGCATTTTCCTCTTTCATGTGTTTGCGATATTAAATTAACTAGTTTGTTTCATATCTTTTCAGGCAAAGACCCTTTGGTTATCGGTTAAGGAATTCGGTTACAGTATTTGCTGTTCAATTGATGGTAATTTTAAGTTATAAATTAGATACTTTATAGTGATACATTCAATACATTATTCTTGTTTTACACATTATTCAGTGAAATTATTAGTGACGTTTGACCATCTTCAAAGTTATTTGACATTAATGAGTAAATAGTTACTATAAATTTTCTGTGGGGAGCCCCTATGGCTCCCTGGAGCTTATCGGGCTAACGTATGTTATATTAGACCGGGACATTAGCTAAGGAGTTCAGACCTACCAGGGACCAGCGCCAGAACCTGGCTCCTTCAGAGAGGTTTCAGGGAGCAATGGCCCTGGGAAACCCCTTTGTGGTTGGGAGTTTTCCTTATCTGTCATCGACCGGGGCTAGGCACCCAGAAAGGTAGGCATAACAAAACAAACCCCACATGGTAGGTAAAAAACTAAAACAAAAAACCGAACAGAAAGGTAGAAACTCCCTACAATCACAAGGAAACAAGCAAACAAGTAAACATCAC